CTATTTGAATTTCTCTTTTCTTCCTTAGTGGTCGTGGTATACTTGCAATGGATGTGATAATTGTTCTTTTAATTTTTTCCTTTGCTATTTTTTCGTTCATATGGGGTACATTTTTTGCATTCCACAAGAGCTGATTTTCTGTGATTTCACTTAATCTACAGGCAATGCGGTTCTCAATTTTTGGAATTCGGGATACTGCACAATTACAGTCCGGTGCTTGTTTAAGCACCTGTCTGTGATTGTGTAATATTTCTTCGACTGTCTTTGATTTTTTAAACATCACACGCATCCGAGCTGTCAAATCGTTTGCCAAATTGTTATTACTTACGTTTTCGAAGATAGACTCGGTTGTTGTGTTTCTCACTTGCTTCAGATTAATGCATGCATCAAATGAAATCTTAAATATCAACCTTCTCTTGATATTGAATGCAAACTTTTCCTTTGAAATTCGTGTGAACATGCCTTTAATTGTTCCTCTTTGCTTCTTTCCGGTAATCGATCCCACTTTTGACAGAAGAATCAGTATATCATCTAACGATAATTTATACAGTTTCCTCCGTCTCCATGGTGCCCTCAAGCAGTTAATCAGAATATTTCTATGTTGTTTGTTTTCGGTCCCGTATGCACCAGTTGGATCACATAAAAAATACATTCATTTTCGATTCGTTTTTTGTATTATTTTAGTTGAAACTTTGTGTTCTCAATTTTCACAATTGTTGATCCGAATGTTCGTTTAATTGCTTTCTATTTTTCATTCCATAGTTTTCCAGCTGTGCAGTAAATCATTGCTTTCGGTTGAAGTATTGATGTTAACTTTGTTGTGTAACCCGATCGAACCGATTTAAACAAAACAGGTATATTATGATTCACCTCATTTTTTTCATTCTTCTTCCTCTTTCTCCTTCTTCGTCTTCGGTTTTTCCGAGTCTTTCTGCCTTTTCCCCTTGTATTCAAGAATGGATTCAGTCTCCTAATCAGTGCTGCTTCCACCCCTATCACCTCTGATCTCACTCCCGTTCAAATGGGTATTATAACATATTTCTCCCAACCAAATTTGTGCAGCCAACTGTATAATTTCCATTGTGCTCCTCTATTTGGATTCTTGGCCAAGTTTATGTGTTCAGTTTATCTTTTGTCGGGCTGTCTTCCTGTCCTCCCCACGTACATATGTCTATACCAAGGTGAAACGAGAACATACACACTCTGTATCGTGGTGAGGTCGCCTGATGATGAGGTGTCTTCTACCTTCCCGGCAGATCTTCGATGCTCGAAGATGTGTCGGATGAGTCATACTCATTACTCCCGCTTGATCTTGTACTAAGGCTCTCGTAATCATCCTCACTTGTGTTGCCGCCACTTGTATTGGAGACTCTGATGTTATCTGGATATGGCGTGATCTGTGTTTGAAGATCAGAATCCCGGTTAAAGTCTTGCCCTTTGTAGGCAATCAATCCAGGAACTTGCTTCAATGCCGAGATCGCTTGCGGCTTGTCCTTGTACCTGATGTCATGCATCTTGCATAAGACCTTCAGGTCCGTGTAGTGACGACGAAGGAGCTGCATGTCCGTCATCGGTTCGACCCCGAAATTAATGCTCCGTTTTGCCTTCGACTTCGCTGCCGACACGTTGTGATTAATCTTCGTTCGTCCTCTCTTGGGGTGTGGAGGGATTACACGTCCCAATCTGCTTTTGTTCGGTGCGCTTTTGCTTGGCATGCTTCGGCTCGGAATGTTGCGACTACCATGTATTGAAGTTGGTAGTCCAACCATTGTCCCCACATATCCGTTTGGATGAACCGAAGACGACACGATCGGAGTGCAGGTACGAGTCGACTCATTGATCTTCTGCAACGCGCCCTTCACAACCGCCAGATCATACTTTAGTAGCTTCAGGTTGTTGACCTCCTTCTGCACTTCCGATACCATCCTTTCTACTTTATCTTCCGCCTCTGCATTCTTCTGACCGGTTGCGCTTGGACCAGCTTCATTCTGTCCCCCTTGATTCATCTCTGTCGGCTTCAGTGCTTCATCAATAATGGACTTGAGCGCGTCCGGAGTTAGCTCAGGCTTCTTTGCGGTGTCTTCCTTGTTCGGAGGAGCTAGCTGCTTTTCACTTGTCTTTCGTGTGAGTTGCTCCAGTGTCTTAAGAACTTTGTCCATCTCCCGACGGAGCTTAAAGATTTCTTCCTTTAGATCCGCCGCAAACCACGCTCGATTTCCCGGTGGGGGGAAATCATTCCGTCTTTGCTCTAACAATGGTCTCGAAAACCACCTTGGAGATTCCGACTCCGCCCTTCTTCTCCGTGACGATGGTGATCTTGACTTATGTCTTCTATCTCTCGGAGTTTTCAATTTCCCCCTTCTTGAGCGCTTCCTCCCTTGAGATCCGGAAGATGATGATGAGTGTTTGCGCCGCCTCCTGTCCGACGATGATCGCAAACGCGACATCTTCCTTGAAGCTAAGGAACGTCAGGTAGGTAGTCTTCGTACTTGAAATCGATACAAAACCCCACAGCGCCGTTGATCGTCTTCAGTACACACCAGATAAGTAAAATAGAATCTCCAAAAATCGCTGAGTAATCTCCACGCTATAGTAATCTCCAACAAATCGCCACTATCATAATGATATCATGAAAGAAAAGGGTTACGAATGATGAGAGAGAGATAAGGACAATGAATGTAAAATGGAAGAGTGACAGGTCTATACAGTGTCAATCATCGGGGGTACCGCCCGTAAGTTCTCAGCACCGTGCATAGAGATAAACACATGCAAATGTAGACAGAACGTGTGAGGTTTTACTTTCACAGCATACACATGCAAATGTAGACAGAACGTGCAAGGTTTTACTTTCACAGCATACACGTAATGTCCATGGCATGCGACACCAGTCACGATTATCCTTCTACCTCACTGTTCCGGTAATCATTTCAGCCACTATCCTCAATATTTATACCCTTCGTTCCCAGTCCTTCTCCGCCACTTTTCCTATCGTTATAGTGTACTCATCATCTATCCTCAGGATCTCCCGCACTCGCTCTCTGTGTTGTCCTTGTCGTCGTCGATTTCCAACATGCCTTCAATCTGGAGCAACTTTCATCATATCTAATGATTTTGTGCGTGCTACTCACGTACTCTCCTCTCTGTCGGAGTTCCGTCTTACTGTGACACTTGCCTATAACTCCGCTGTTTTTTTATACTGACTCAAATTTGGCCTTGTTTGTTGTTCTGTTCTTGTTTACTTTCATGGCCATGGATTTTCCTTCATTTCCAGGTGAGTACTTTTTCTTTATTGGTTCGTTTCCACTGCTTTAGGTCTTTCATTTTCTATCTGTTTCGTATGTTTGGAAATGTGAGCAACACTGTTACGTCGTTATATCTACAGAAATTCCGTGATATGCCGGAGTACTTAGTCGTGTATGTTTCTTTTTCATCCCTGAAAATTTATTTTCATTCCGTGCAAAATTATATTTTTGATTTTTGATTTTTGATTTTCGTGTATGTTTCTTTTTCGTCCCTGAAAATTTATTTTCATTCCGTGCAAAATTATATTTTTGATTTTTGATTTTTGGTTTTTCGATTTGTGATTTTAGCTTTATATTTTCCGAGTCGTGTGAATTTCTTGACGTATTTTATTCCGGACTTTCAGTTTTATATCCGTCGATTTGGTGCTTCTTGCTTTTCCAGGTACTCCTGAAATTTATTTCGGATGTCCGCGTCCCTGGAGTTTCGGATGAACGCAAGTGTCGCGGCTTGGGTTATCCTCCATGGGTAATCCATGAGTCGGAGTTCCCGTCCGATCAGATCAATCACGGGCGGTAGATCCGCCATCTCGTATGTGTTAGCTACCATTCGATGAAAAGTTCCGATAATCGTCAAGGTCTTGGTTCTCTCAGAACCCGCACTCCTGAAGTGACGCAACGTCCTGAGAGAGAGAGAGAGAGAGAGAGAGA